CTTGAAGATTGACATCTCCAAGTATAGGGGAGTCGAAGAGGACTCCCTCTTGAGATGGCTCGTCGAATTGGATGACGCCATAAGGGCGCGTCGCATCGACGACGGGGATATGCAAGTTGCATTTGCCCAGTCAAATATGGCAGGACGTGCCAAGACTTGGGCTTTGGGACTCAAGTTGCACGACCCATATGCGTTTGGGTCGTTGGAAGTCTTCAAGTCGCGGCTCAGACAAACGTTTGAACCGCCTAGAGCTGAGTTCAGAGCTCGAACCGAACTCTTGAAGCTCAAGCAGGGTAAGCGTGATGTGCACGCTTACGCGCAACATATACGACATATTACGAGTTGTAAAAGTTCCAATCCGGTGGATGAACACACGTTGGTTTCGGTGTTCATGCAGGGTCTTGCGGATGGTCCCGTTAAGACTCACCTGTTCCGGCTTGAACTAGATTCACTAGAACAAGCCATTTCCATTGCGGGGCAGGAAGACTTCAGTCTGAGACAGGCTCGCGCCAGCTCGACATCATATCGTCAACCGAGACGATATGACAGCGGACGTCCAGATCCGATGGAACTATGTTATGTAGAGAGCGAGAAGGCTCGCTCTACAGACTACAAGAAGTTGCAGAGATGCAACAGATGTCAAAAGACAGGACACTACGCTAACGAGTGTAGTGCCCCTCGTCCAGTGTCTCGCAACACTGGGCGTAGTGACCGTCCACCCATGAGAAAGGGGCAGGGACGAGGGTCCGCTGTTGGTGCAAAGACGCAACAACGGGATGGACCGTCAAAAACGGACAGGATCAGTAGGTGCGGAGCACCCTACTGGTCCAGCAACGTCAAGAGATTTGTAGGCCTCTTGATGAAGGTTGCTCCCAACACACAAACGTTGTGCGTTGCTGCTCTAGGTAATGAGATCTCACTAATTACCTTGAAACTCGAAGTGACAAGTAAGTGGTCCCTTCGAGCTCTTGTCGATTGTGGGGCGTCCAACAATTTTGTGCGACGCCAATCGCTAGAAGATGGTCACTTTAAGTTCAGTGAATATGACACACCTCCTACAAGGATGACGGTACGTCTTGCGACAGGCGCATCCGTAACCGTCATGAAGCGTATAGTGAACATTTGCTATACGCTAGAAGATATCCAATATGACGATGACTTTATCGCATTGGATTTGGATGACAAATTTGATGTCATCCTTGGTCTGCTATGGCTTAGAAAGTACCAGCCATGGGTTAGCCGGCAACATCGAACAGTAACGATGCCTGCCGCTTGTTCATCAGATGGCCATCTGATGAACGTTTTGGAGCGTCCACAAGCGTGTGGATGTACTACGAGTGAGTGCGATGGGCCTCACTTGTGGTATGGTCGTTAGTACGACTGCACAAAACCTTAGTGTACCAAACGGTTACACTTCGGAGCAAAGTTCCGGCGGCTGTGAGGAAACACAGGCTGCGCCGAAGGTCCACCACTCGAATAAGTCGGGTGGACCGGGACAAAGATGTATCCCTAGCGGGGAACATCTAGAAGAGAAACAATCGATCGCTCAGGTTAAGCGAAGCGATAATCCTAGATCGACTGGAGAGTCTTTCGTAGAGGATCTCGCTGTGGTTGCGCAACCCCAGCTAGAGGAAGTAAAGGGAATAAGTCCCGATATTACAAATACGGCGGAAATAAGTTCCCCGAAACCCGCAGGAACAAGTCCCCGGGAAGCCGAAGGAATAAGTCCTTCGAAGCCTGAGGGAATAAGTCCCCAGGAAATGACAGAGACATTGAATGTCATAGTCAATAACGGATCAAGTGTAGGCGCTTATACACTTGATCTGATTGCGCCTCCGAAGTTGACTTCGGAGATCACTTAGCTGCCAACGCTCGAACATAAAAGGTTCTTGCGTGATCTGCGTAGTGGCAAAGTCAAGCAGATCTGCATACTCGTCGCTGACGACGAGTGTGTAACCGACAGAAGGTCAGCAACAGTGTTTACTGAGAACGAGAGAGTTCTCAGTAGTTCATCTATGGACGAGAGTGTCCTAGATGAAAAGACACGAGTTGAGCGATGTGACTCCCAATCGTGGGAATCGCTCAAGACAAATCCTCTGTATGAAGATTTGGTTGAATTCAAGGATGTATTCCCTGAAACTGTTCCGTGCGAATTACCGAAGGATAAAGGTATTCGACACGAGGTCGAGCTTAAACCAGGCTCGAAGTACTGTGTCATGAAGCAGTGGCCACTGCCCCGTGAACAAGTACTTGCGATCGACAAGTTCTTTGCCGATCGTTTAGCTGCGGGCCATGTGAGGGAATCAACTTCCCCACATAGCTCTCCGACCTTCTGTGTGCGAAAAGCAACAGGAGGGTGGCGGATAGTGCACGCGTTCAACAAATTGAACGCTGCAACTGTACCGGCTCAGACGCCAATACCAAGGAAGGACGTAATCATTGATGGTATGTCAAAGAGTACCATCTTTTTGTCCATGGATTTGATGGATGTCTTCTATCAAATCCTTATGCGAGAACGGGATATACCCTATACCGCAGTTAGCACGCCTAGCGGTATGCTCTGGGAATGGCTAGTAATGCCACAAGGGATTAGTAATGCCCCTGCCACGTTCAACAGATGTGTATCACATCTGTTGAGACCAGTACGCGAATTCGCGCCGATTTATTTCGATGACGTATTCATCCATAGTCGAGCTATGGATGGAAAGTCGGACGTTGAGGTTCACAGGTACCACGTCCGACAGGTTCTTACAATCATGCGAAAGCATCAATTGTATGCAAACCTCAAGAAGTGTATATTTGCAGCAAGCGAAATACCACTTCTTGGGTGCATCGTTGGTAAGAACGGTGTACGTCCTGATCCCGAAAAGATCAAGGCGATCACCGACTGGCCTGTGCCGGTCGATGTCAAAGGTCTTCGAAAATTCCTTGGGCTAGCGGCGTCTTTGCATGAGTATTCACGCAATTACGCCGAGATGACTGTGCACCTCTCTCGTTTGTTATAAAAGAACGAGAGGTGGTTATGGAACGCTGAATGTCAGCGCTCCTTTGATGGTATCAAGCAGAGCTTGATACAATCCCCAGTCCTAGCAGTAGCCGATCAGGACAAGCCATTTCATGTGGTCTGTGATGCCAGCGATTTCGCAATCGGCTGTGCATTAATGCAGTACGACCTAGAAGGCGTTGAACACGTCGTCTGCTATCAGTCGCGTCAGCTGCAACCAGCTGAGCGGAACTATCCAGTGCATGACAAGGAACTCCTTGCCATGAAGTATGCACTCGCGAAGCTCAGAGTCTATCTCTTAGAAGATAGACCCTTTATTGTTTACACTGACCATGCGTCATTACGCACGGCAGTGAACAGCCCGCACCTTTCACAACGAATGGCGCGGTGGTTGTCATTCTTTGCAGAATACAACTTTACGGTCGAGTACAAACCAGGACGACTTAATGTCGTCGCTGATGCACTCTCACGTCGTCCCGACTTTGAACCAGTCGCGAAACCCAACAGTGAGACAGTCACTGTTGCGGTTATGACGTCCTCAGTCCCATCGACAACGTTGTATGATGATGTGAGGCGGGCATACGCCCAAGATGGTGAGATTGTGAAGTTGTTGACACATCTCTCACAGCCATCTCGAGAATCGTTGAAACGATTGTCGCCTGCGTATAGATCTGCATCAGATCGATACACTACTCGTAACGGTTTAATGTATTATACAGCCGTTTCTGGTGACACACCACGTGTTGTCATTCCAGATGATACTGATCTGCGTTTGCGGATCATGTTCGAGTATCACGATGCTCCTATAGGAGGACATCGTGGCCGGGAGAACACATATCTCACGGTGAGTCGAGACTTTTACTGGCCCCGCCAGTATCAGTTTGTGCGAAAGTATGTTCGCGCATGCGAAGTCTGCCAACGAGTGAAGTCAAGTCCTTCACTGCGTGCACCTTTACAGCCTCTACCGGTTCCGGCTGAGTGCTGGGAATCCATCTCAATGGATTTCGTCTTCGGGTTACCCAAAGACGCACGCGGGAATACGGGTATTCTCGTATTTGTTGACAGATTCAGCAAAATGGTACACCTTGTGGATGTACCAGAGACAATCACGGCAAGTGGCTGTGCTTGTGTCTTTATCGACACCATCTTCCGACTTCATGGGTTGCCCCGTGAGCTCGTATCAGACAGAGATCCACGATTCACTGCTGATTTCTGGCGTTCCGTGTTCAAATCACTCGGAACGCGCTTGAAGATGTCGGCATCTGATCATCCAGAGACAGATGGTCAGACGGAACGTGCCAATCGTGTCCTTGAAGAGATCCTTCGAGGATACGTACACTCCTTTAAGAGTTGGAGTGAGTTTTTGTCAATGGTAGAGTTCGCCATTAACAACTCGGTGCATGCGTCCACGACACATACACCGTTTTACGTGAATGGCTTGCGCCATCCGCGTGTACCCACCTTACTAGAGTGTAACTCTGGTTTAAGGGGGGAGGGACTCGCGCGAGCAAAAACCGATTTGGTTCACGCTCATCACGCTCTGACGAAGAGGTCATTGCGTTTGATGCCGATATCGATAACATCGATATCGAAGAAGATGATGCCAGTGAGAGTGCGAAAGCCCTCACTGAAGAAAAGGTTAATGTTGCTGCAGTGCGCTCACAGCGCACTGAAGCTAACGAGTCATCAGATGAGTTTATTCTGGCTCGTGAAACGGTAGTCCGTTTTGTGCAAGATTCCATCGCCGAAGCGGTGGATAAGCAAAAGCAAAACGCTGATAAGAATGGAAGGGCAAACACTCTTTTATTTAATAAAGGTGACTTAGTCCTACTGTCTACGGTTAATCTACCAAAGCATGTAGTGACTAACTTGGGTAGCAGTAAACTACTACCCAAGTACATCGGCCCATTTCGTGTATTGCACCGCCTAGGCAATGCATACACGATCGAGTTACCACGTAAGATGCGAACGCATCCCACGTTTTACGTTGGTCGGCTTAAGCCGTACCATCAGTACGCTGCTTCTTCCGATGAAGAACGCCCTTGCTCTCAAGCATCTCGCAGAGAGCCTTGTGCTCCCGATGGTGGGCATCAACAAGGGTCTGAAGAGCAGCTATCTGATCCCGAGACCGATCAACAATCCCACGAGCTACCCTTAGCTCGTCACGAAGAGATGTCAGAGATCTCTCGTTCTCGAGCTGAGCAAAGGCAAACTCAGCTCGATGCTTCAAGACAGTGTCCGCCATCTGGAGACCCTATTCCGCTCATGCTCGAGATCGTCGCGTAACCCTTGCGTTACGCGATCAAAGAAGCTCTCGGGAACACACGGATCCACATGATCGTGTGGAGAGCGTCTTTCCTCCTCCTCTACCTCCATTAGAGGACTCTCGCGGTGGCCAGCGCTATCTAGTTAAGCAGTTGTTGAACCACCGCGACGTGAACGGACGTCGGACGAGCTATCTCGTCCGGTGGCGCGGCTATCCCCCGTCCTGGTATACTTGGGAGCCCCGCTCCCAACTGATGATCGACGTACTGGGTCTGGTTGAGCAGTACGACGCGGCACATCCTGTGCCGCAGAAGGACCACCGGAGAAAGTCTTCCCGGCACGGTCGTAAAGGGATTTTAAGTTGTCAATCCCTTCGTACATCTCAATAGAGATACGTACGCGCCACCACGGGCTATTAGGGAGGTAAGCCTTCTTGGGTGCTCGTGCAGAGTTGTTCACACAACACGTGCACGAGTCTCCCCAAGAGAGGCAGGGTAATCCTTTCCCCCTTGACAGACGATGCAGCTTGTAGCGTGCACCTGTCGGGGTTCGCTTTTCAAACTTATCACGAGCTTTGATAAGTTTGTCGTTCCAAGCGTCACGACCTACATCCTCAAGGTTATGGATGTAGGCGTTCCACTCTTGAAGTAGTGAGGGACCATCACGCTTGTGGTTCCCACTGTACCATCGATGTCTAAAGAAAGCATCGATGAAGAATTCATTCTCAGCGCGATAGTTTTTCGCGCTGGGGTCAAGGTGATGGATCCTTGACGAATCGAACAATCGTGTTCGATAACGATCACTCGTCGTCGCCGACAAGTGACCCATGACTGATTTGGGAGGCATCCATGCCTTCTTCTCAGGAGCGAGACGCAAGACATTGCGGTCCCGCTCTTCCTGCGATGTGCCGACAGAAGTACTGGCACCTCGTTGCGAAGTGGTGTCGATAGGAGAACCGACACCACTATTAGCGCCCGAGTCTCGCGACCTCGAGCGCCTTCGCTTCGGCGATGGTTCATCTGATTCATCAGATGAACCAAAGATGCTGCGACGCAAAGCATCGTCCATGCCACGCTTGGCAGGCGGATTAGATTCAATCGCCGTCGATACGGATCCGTCATCCGTATCAGGAGAGTACGAGACACCGAGCTCGTACTCTGTGAAGACATGAGTGTCTTCATGACCAGCGCCTGCATCACCAAGTGACACAGGCTGGGTCGCTTCAGCAACCGATGAGACATCAGTTGCTGTTGTTTCTGCTTCGGCGTCCGCACAGAGACGTGCAGACGCGCTCTTGGCGGCCTTGCTCGCGCATCGCATGGGCTTGTTAACCATGCGATGAAATGTTGGAAAGTGGACTCGGACCAACAAGTGCAAACCCTGTCCCAACTGATTTGGGACGAGTATCCATTTAGTCAATCAGTCACTAAAGTGACCGATGGTTAAGGGGGTGTGATGTGACGGGGTTAATCGTTGCATAAAAATTTATAAGAAATTGTTAATAGAATATAACTATAAGAGTTATATTCTCAGAATATTGTCACAAGGACAGATATTCTGTAGCACTTACGAGTAGTTCCTAATTGGTCGATATAGGCCATTGTATCAACCAACGAAGACGCGCCACGACAGACGCACGCAATGAGTGGTGAGCAGATAACTGATTTACACATTTGTATTTAGACATAGTTAGATGAAGATAAATAGTGATTTATTGCAGACATTAACTATACTAAATACAGTTCTACTTTTTACTTTAACCAAGTACTCGCTTCTTCTTACCGTCTTCCTCTGCACGTACGAGTGTACGTGAAGTTACAAGGCACCGCCTTATTCTGTCATCAGAATAAGTAGCTTGTACTGTCACCAGTACAAGCTTCAGGGTGCCCCGTTACATGGTTTATAACCGCCTTGTTGTCCCCGACGACATACAGCGGTACGAAGTCTCGGACCTTAGCTTGTCGGAGGCCATTGACGAGCCCGTGATATGAAGCCACGGCTTCTGTCGTGCGCGCGGAGTATACTGGCTACCCAACTGATCGCTGCCGCATGTGTATCCATGTTTATTTTGACAATCACCGACCCGGCTTCGCCTGGCCCTGGATTACCTCGAGATGCTCCCGAGAATAAGAGCAGATAAAGGAGGTCCTGGCCAGCGTCTGCTGACAGATTCCGTAATGGAGCTGGAGTAAGGTGGCGAAGCAGAGCATCCGCTAAAGTGGATGGCCTCCCGTCACGACACCTGGCTGGTAAGTACAGACTGTCAGCTTGCACGTCACCCACTTTGCCGCATGCGTAGCAGGTGCGCATATCTCTTCGCCTAAAGTCTAGATGAGCAGCAATATATTCGCGTCCAATTTCCACGCTGCCGAGCTCGATCGACTGGGCAAAGTGCGCCAGCTTATCTGCATGTCGTAGGTAGCTGACACGTGTCGGGTCGTACTTGGCCCGCATGACTTTCACCAGCTCAGGCGACGCGTGGTGTGCGATTTCACCTATGACAAGCTAGTCGGCACCTCTCTGCGTGTCGCTTAACGTAATTATGGAGAGATAGTGCTTTGCCCAGGTGCGCTTGGAATATTTCTTCTGCATGAACAGCTTCATCGCCTGGCTAGCCGTCAAGGTCGTTCTAAACGTTGCAAGCAGCTGGCACATAACATGGTCTAGCGTCGGCCTCTGGCTCTACCACGTGTCTACCTGCTTGTGGAAGTATCGCTCAGCCGTTCCGCTAAGGTGGTGAACAAGAAAGTCTACCTCGACATCCTCACTCCAAGTGAAAGCGCACGAGGACTCTGCATGATTTACGGCGCGCAAGAACGTGAGACCCCAATGGAGGTTTCCGGACCTTAGTACCTTGTAAAACACCGTCACGTCAAACTTACTGATAGACAACTCGCGCTGTCTCGCCTTCGGTGTTGCATAGAACGCTGTTGTCGCAGAAGGTTACCCTAATGGTGCCGGTCCTGCTGCTGGTCGCCGAGCCTCGACGGGAGTCGGAGCGCGTGCACATGCCGGAGAAAACGACACAAACATCGACTCTTTAGGATCAGGTGCACGCGCGCAGTGACCGCGGAGCCAGCTTGTTCTCGGGTGAATCCTTGAGTGCGTCGATGGTCATAAGCCTTGCTCGCGCGTTTGCACCCAGCGCTGATGCGAACATTCCGTTCGTCTCATCTTCCCGTGCTAGTATTCATTGCTTCATGGGGGGGGGTATGACATAATTGGTTGCTTGATGTTGGATGGATCCTACGTAGCGGCTCCCCTACGCCTATTTGGAAACATTTGCTGGATGGATCGATGAAACTAATGAAGCATTCGGTTAGGCACAGTACAGTAACGTGGTATGTAATACTTTCTTCAATTTACCTTAACTCTGCAAGACCCGCTTAAGCAAGTCTAGCGGACCGATCACCTCTCTGCAAGCCACGGGTGCGTCAAGTGCATAAGTTCTTGCCAGGCGAGACAATTACGGACCTCTTCGGAAACGAAGTTGTTTTAAACGATCTTCATAAAAGCCAATAGTGTCGATTCTTCAAACGCCGGCCTAAAAAAAGTGGAAGAAGAGCTTTTCGTGCGTTGGATCAGCGATGGTGATAGACCTGACGTCGTCGTTAAGACATTTGAGGTCGACAAAAGGAGAGGACTTCATACAGGCTTGTAATGTGAACTAGCGTCAATTTGATCACTGTTGCAACCTCAGGTCTTAGTGGCAAAAAACACTTTGTTGAAACGTTGGGGAAAGCAATATCCAAATAAGGCCCTTTGGCGCTGTACGAGGGAAACAGTTTCAGAGTTACAGACACTGCTGCTGAAGACATGGGACGGTCTAGGTTTGTCGGAAGTAGATGTCATGGATTGGCAAGAAATGGTGGAATGGGAGAACTCCTGACCGACCCAAGATTCGGCATGATCGTAAAATTGTTCGAGATGCTTCAAACAAAGGATTCGATGCGTACATCTTCGCTTGTCAAAACACTAACGGAGCGCTTTGAGACCAAAAACGTGGCGATTGCACTGCTAACCAAAAAATGCTGGACTCGGCAGAATGCAGACGTAGCGAAACTGGAAAAAAACCAACTTTTTTAGTGGTGGATCAGCAATGGTGGCACACCTGACGTTGTCTCTAAGACATTTGAGGTCGACAAAATGGATGAATTATTCAATGACCGACTGAAGTTGCTGGACAACTTCACATAGGATTTCCAACATGGAGAACGATACTAGTGTCGATTTTATCACCGTTGTGATCTCAGGCTTTAATGGTAAGGGCGGACTGACATGGATACTGTTCAGGACAAAGAGTAGTATAAATTCAATGGACATAGTTTATTAGAAGAAGGTGTACTTGCAATATGGAAAACGCAGAAAGCGAATCCGAACGTGTCGTGGACCGAATAAAAATGACTGAAGGTATATGAGATCATACAGGACCTAAGTTGGGTATATCTATGAAGTACATCGCCATGCTTGACGGAAACGACCCGGGACGTGCGTTCTCGCAAGTTAAGATGTTTATGGCGAAATTCGGGGATGAATCTGTGGTGCACGCACTAGTAGACGCACAAGTGACAAGGACAGACAGCCATTCGCCGCCCTACTCGCCGGTAAAAGACGTATGGAGACTTCTACCACAACTTGTGGGTGACTGGATCAGCAGCGGTAAAACCGCTTACGAAGTCACCGTTACTGAATCGCGTAGCAATGAAAGCCTCCGAAGAGTTTGCTGTACAATGGACGTTGAAAATCGTCCGTCGGACGTATAACGAGAAGATGCGTACTCCTGATAATTTGTCCACGCTAGGAACTCAAACTTTGATGGCGTGGACAAGCTGGCGCTGGATGTTATTATCTCAGCACGGACACAAGACTTCGGAATTGGGGCCACAGCTTACGGGGCGGAAATATCTGAAGTTGTCGCCGAAAGCGGTTGCATCGAAATTAAATGATGATGAATTATAAAAAGATGACATGCTCCGAGTTCGGCACGTACATGAAGTACATGAACACGCTTGGCGCAATCAGAAGCGTGCTTTTGTTGGATGCCGACAAGTTTACGACGCGCTTGGTATTGAAGAAGCAGTAGTCGCTGCAAAAACGTGGCAGTCGGCCGACCACTTCAGTTGAATGGCAGTTTCTATCCTGGGATGGTGTAGTAAAATCAGGGCGAAAATGGTTGGTGTCGAAGAGATGGAAGCATGGTAGAAACTTGGTAACGACAATAACACTTCTACATTTTGCATTGGCATCTTCCTATTCTAACAGGTTATGAGCCCAAACGGTGATACTGATGCCGCTGGTGCAACTGGCGCGCAACCTAGGGCACTGACTGGTCGCGAAAGGGCCAGCAGCCTACAAGGCGAAAATTTAGAAGTCAAGGCAGAGGCGGTGCCAGGGAACACGGAGCAAAGGATGTTGGACCTACTGACGGGACTAGCGGAGCGGATGGCTAAGCTAGAGGCGTCACAAGGGACCAAGGACCAGCCGATGGACAAGGAGTCCAGTGTGTTCGGGTCAGCAATAGGCCTGGGGCAACCGATGAATCGGCGTGCTCTCGACGTGACACCGCCGAGGGCTCCTTCTCCACATATGTCGCCGGGGACGTACTTCGGGATGAACCAACCGGGGTATGCAAGGGCGGCTGAGAACGTCGAGAGGGCACAGGCGCCGCAGCCGGGGTTACCACAACACTTTGTGCCACCTCCAGTGTGCCAGCAGGCGCAGATACCGCAGCACGTCCCGTCGTATGCGAGAGTGCCGGACGCTAGACAGCGCAAGCTGAACATCCGTCATTTCGATGGAAAAGAGCTTTACCAGGGGCTAGGGAGCGGTTTTCTATCCTGGGGGAAGAAGTTTGTACGGGAAGTCTCTTTTGCTGAGCTTGCGAGCGGATTTCCGTGGAGTGAGGATGTCAAGATAGACGTCCTTGGACACAATCTCACGGGAATGGCTGAGCGGTACTATAATCGCCAAGTTGAAGGGTGGTGGCAAGAAGAGCCAACATTGGAACACGCCATGCAAAGGCTGCTTCATACATTCGCAACTAAGATAACGCCAGCGCAAAGTATGAAGCTATTTACTGCTGCCAAGAGCCCCAAGCGCAGCTGGACAGAACACTATTTGTATTTGGTCGCAGTAAGCGAGGCATGCGGTGGAGCAGACAACTTGGTCCAAGACAACATAGTCCACTACGCTGATCCGGCAATGAGAGTTTCAATGCTGGCGCGTTTGAATCTAACAAGAATTGATTACTTGCGCCAAGCGGAGGAGCTAACTCACTTCGCTCAGTCGACGGAGATCAAGCTGCGCGGAAAGCACATTGGAAAGGACGTCGTCAACAACGTTCGACATGTGCGCGAAAAGACACGAAACGGGCGTAAGGACAATCGCAAGTGCTACAGCTGTGGGAAATCTGGACACATAAAAGCTGCGTGCCCGGGGAACAAGGTCTCAAGAGAAGCAAGCGTCGACGTGGACTTTGTGCTCGCAGTGGGCAACCCGAGCGCTAACCACGGCTATTGGACACTGGACAGTGGCTCGAGTCGTCACCTGGTGAACGATGTGAGCATGCTCGAGAACCCAGAGGACTGCCAAAGCGAGTGTATCGCAGCTGACGGAGGGCCCTTGCGCATAACGAAGCGAGGAAGCGTCACAATCACGACCACTGTAATGGGCAAGGTCACTAAAGTGCGACTCCTGGACGTGCAATATGCCGAGAACCTCGAAAGGAACATTATATCCTACGGTATATTGGAGGCTAAAGGGTTTGGGATAGCCTACATGGGTGATCGCAGGGTCGTCGGCAACATTGACAGTGGGGTGGTTGTCTTTGACGTGGAGAAGAAGAACAACGTGCTAATAGTGCGGGACCACGATCGCGGAAGTGTTCAGCTACCATCGGACATACTAATGACGGCTTTAGCGCAAGGAGAATTCGAAGTGAGTCAAGACGTGCAACGGGGCACGCTTATGCACTTTCACAGAAGGTTGGCTCACCTGAATTATGACACGATCCTTCGCATGGCAAAGGATCCAGCCTCAGGGATACAGCTGACCGATGAAACGCGTGAGAACTGTCTAGCTTGCGCTCAAGGTAAACAGACCAAGAACCAGCAGTCGAGAAAAGACACTGGCACGAATGCGCCGATTGATGTTATCGGAGGAGTCATCTGCTCTGACCTGAAGGGTCCCATGACTCCTCGCGACAGATTGGGAAATCGTTACATGGTTAATTTTGTGGATCATCGCACGAACTACTGCAGAGTTTTCCTGGCGAAGAGCAAAGACGTGGCGGCCCAAAAGTTTAAACACTTCATGGCATTTTTCGAGAGGCAATTTAATTGTCGCATTCACGTGCTGCGAACGGACGGCGGAGGAGAATATCGTACTCTGGACCTCTTTTGCAAGGAAACAGGAATTGCGAGGCAAATTAGTGAGCCAAGCAACCAAGCCAGCAATGGGAAGGTCGAGAGGATGCATCGCACCATTATGAATATGGTGCGTAGCATGGTGTTTGCGTGCGGACTGCCGCTGAGCTTCTGGGGGGACGCGGCGGAGTATGCGGCCTACATACTGAATCGAAGCCCAAGTAAAGCCAACGCTGGTCGCCTATCACCTCTACAGATGTTGACCAAGAAGGTACCTGTTTTAAGTGATATTGTGGTTTTTGGGTCACCGTGCACTGTGCACCAGGACGCGAAGAACAAGTCACTAGGAGCTTGTGGCAAGCAAGGCGTGATCATAGGCAAGAGCGATGAAGTGAAAGGGTACCGTGTGTACATTCCAAGGGACAAGGTCGTGGTCGTAACTCAACATGTTAAGAACGTTGAAACCCTTACGAAGGAACAAAACGATCAACTACGGCGTGTGCATCTGAAGGAGATTGATGAAGTTGCGTGCGATGGCTCGACGCAGAAAGAGAAGACGCAAGCGACTGTTCATGATGCGATGAGAAGAAACCACTCGAAAGTTGGTGGCTGGACGCGAGAGGCGCATGTGACGAGGGCGACTTCGAGAAAGTCACGCGAAGACAATGCAGAACAAAAAGAGGAGGAGGTTTCGGATGTGGTGAATGTCATTCGTGAGAGCGACCCAAAATCCTACGGTCAGGCCATGAAGAGCGGCTTAAAAGATAAGTGGGTGGCAGCAATGGATGAGGAGCTGCGAGCTTTGGAAGACAACGATGTGTGGAAGGTGGAAGTGCCGCCCAAGGGAAGCCATGTCCTACACACCAAATGGGTGTTCAAAACCAAGTTGAACGCAGGGGGAGAGATCGATCGTTTCAAAGCGAGGCTTGTGGCATGCGGGAACGAGCAGGTCTACGGTGTCGACTACGGGTTGACGTTTGCTGCGGTGATGGAATTGAGCACGGTGAAGGTCATACTGGTACTTGCCCTACGTTGGGGAGTACCAGCAAGACATGGTGACATACCTAACACCTACGTGAAGGCGAACAAAGAGGAACATTTGGAGATTTTTCTTGCCATACCTCAAGGCATGACTGTACCTGATGTGATTTTGAAGCAATTTGGAACACAAGGCAGCGACAAACTGGCGCTCAGGCTTAAAAAGTCGCTTTACGGCCTTAAACAGGCGGGTCGTCTTTGGAGCAAATTGCTGGACACGAAACTGGTCGAGGCTGGTTTTAGTCGATGCGTGTCTGACGCATGTCTGTATTTCAGACACGACGGAGGCGAGCTGACAATTGTCGGGGTATATGTTGATGATTTGTTGGTGACAGCGACAAGTCAGGACAAGGTGGAAGAATTCTTTAAAGCGATGAGTGTCCTCTCTATTAAGGATTTGGGTCAAGTTAACAAGTTCCTGGGCATGAGGATGGCTCTAAAGGACTCGAAGACTTACACTGTCGATCAGACTACGGCGATCGATGAGATGCTAAATCAACATGGTCTGGATGCAGCAAACGGCGTGAGGGCGCCCATCGGTGACGACAGCAACGACGATGTGTCAGAAGGTGTGTACCTGTCGGCAAATCGGGGCAAGAAAGGCGAGCCTACTGTCCGAAACTTTCAGTCTTTAGTGGGTAGCCTTCTATGGATTGCCCGGTGTTCAAGGCCTGACATTAGCTTCGCGGTTCACAGAGCCACAAGACGTACGCACCAGCCCACTGTCAGCGACTGGAAGCTGGCAAAACGCGTCGCGAGATACCTGAAGACAACAAAAGACATGAAACTCAAGATGAGCCTCGAAGATGAGAAAGATGTTATCACGGTGACATGTTGGAGTGACTCAGACTTCGCGGCAGATAAGTCCGACCGCAAGTCATCGTGCATTGGATCTGCAAAAAGCAGACCGGAGTATCCTTGTCTACCATGGAGGCCGAGTTTACCTCGGCGTCGCACGTTGGACGAGAGCTGCTGGGATTGCGAGAATTGCTGAAGGAGATTGGACTTCCTGTGACGGAGCCAATGAGCATGCTAATGGACAATCAAGCAGCAATCAAGATGTTAGAGTCTGAAGGAAGCATGGCGAGTGCGAAGCACGTGGATGTGCGGATGAAATTCATCTGCGATTATGCTAAAAAGGGTATCGTCAAACCTGAATTCGTCGAGTCGAAGTTGATGAAAGCAGACCTGTTGACGAAGACACTGCCGGCGCCAAGGGTCGCGGAGCTACGCGAATTGTTTAACCTTGTTTGAATGTTGCAGGTGGACCGGATGAAGCGCGTCGTCCGAGGAGGAGTATTGAAGAAGCAGTAGTCGCTGCAAAAACGTGGCAGTCGGCCGACCACTTCAGTTGAATGGCAGTTTCTATCCTGGGATGGTGTAGTAAAATCAGGGCGAAAATGGTTGGTGTCGAAGAGATGGAAGCATGGTAGAAACTTGGTAACGACAATAACACTTCTACATTTTGCATTGGCATCTTCCTATTCTAACACTTGGGGCTGAGGTTGTGACGGTAGCGCAGTATTACAAGAGATGTCTCACGGTAATAAGTCTGCTGAGGAAGTATCCGCGCGGCTCAATACGAAAGGATTCAAACACAAGATCCTGGAGGTCCAATTCCGTTTAGCAGATTTCTTTGAGGTGTTCAGGACATGCTACGGTACTGACGTCGATTTTGCTCTCGTTCTCTTAGACTGTTTGGTCTTGGACGTCATACGCATCAATTCTAAACTGTTCCTGAAGTCTCTATCGACCAACGGTATCGTGAAAGCGTAACGGTTGGTAGTCCACTCTTCAAAAGTGTCAAAAGAGGGATGCAGACAATCTGGTTGGGCTCGAGGGTATATACACAAAAAATTGCCGGACGAAACAGCAGTAGTGAGGCATACGACAAAGCCTACCCTGGACGTATCATTAATTTACGACCGTCCACCGGATGAGTTGATGGACGTATGTAACATCGCTTCCATGGTCTGTCTCATCACCAAAGTGTCCAGCCCACAAGCAGACAACCCTTACAGTCAACAACACTGGTGCTAAATGTCAATGTGTGTGTTTTGTAGCGAAACGTCTACTAGGATCATTGCAAGTCTGCATGGCAACATTACGCATTTTTGGCTCTGTGTGACCTCATATAGAGCAGCAAAAGATCCATGCGAACATACAAGATATGCGTTCGCTGGACATACAGACAAGCAAGTCGTTGCCTCGCTGATCGGATAGCACGAATTTCGGACTGCGTTGCGTCGTTAACATGGCATCATGAGCACTAAGGGCTCGTGGTATTTTGTAAATAAGGGGAACAGGGTGATGCAATGAGAGGTCACTGACGAAGCGATCATCTCTCTTGTAGTGAGGCCATCACTCGAGTCAATTTTGCTGTGACGAACCCCTCTCCAAAGGTATGTCGTGTGACCGAGCATGCATCAGCCTCGAGCGCGGTAGTTGGTCGCTCATCGCGATTCAATCCGAGAGCTATTTCGTGTTCTGTGTACCGGCTGGAACACGGGTCACGTGACGAACCAAACGAGATGTGCGAGCAACTTGGTACTGCTAAACTTTAAGTGACGTTACTGCAGGTCAGCAGGCGAAAGAAGCAAACGTCGGTCCTCACTGACGCATTTGTCCGTATCGAGTTAGCTGAGTGACAAAGATCGGTTTAGTTTTACGAGCAAAACCACTTCAACAATGCAGCTCGGACTCAGAGCATACTGACATTGTACCACTGTCGCTATCCGTGACGGGTAGGTTCGTGACAAGAATAATGCTAACGGCATGGTGCCACCAGTGAGAATTTTTAGCACCTGTAGCCGAAAGATTGAGACGTGAGGTCATTGTGTACGCGATGCCAGGTTGATCGACAAAGACACTCACTGCCCATGAAGTACTGAATGAATGGACACTGGACGTGGAAAAAGCCGTCGACGCAGTGTTGCACATTGCTCACCATCAGAATCCATGTCTAGGCGAAGTAGCCAATCGAGTACTTGCACTCGGACTACAGAGCGCGGCAGGACCGGCCAAAACAAGCACGAGCGTAATGGAAGATCCAAAGCTGCGAAGTATACGCCATGTGCGGATGAATGAGTAGCAAAAAAAAAAACGCAGCAGACGAATTCGCGGACGCCTTGTCCGGTTTCCAAGCAGGTTTCGCCAAGTCGAAGTATAGAACACCATCAATTTGGCGACTATGCTTGGTCAGTTCGTGTAGTCTCACTTTGACAACCAGCTCAAGCGACGCCGGTTTCGCAGATTTATGCAAGACGTGCCAGCTATGGTCCAAGGAATGTGTTCTGGTCGAAAAGAAGAATAGGGTTGTCACTGTGATGGATGTATTTTTGTTGCATCATCACGAAACTAGTTCGTCTGCCCAACACATCTCGGAGTCACGAACGAATCCTTTGTGGTAATGCTTTTTCTACCCTTTACCAAGTTCACGATCCAGCCATACGCAGCCTAATGATATCATCAATGTCGCGCATTCGCGTAACTGGTTCCGGTGTTTCAAAGTTTGGATATCATACGAGAATAATGGGCATCTTTGAATCTTCACTGTGATTGTCTCACCTTTGTAATGTCCTTACTGCTATCGTGTGAAGCCTTCCATCGTGGCACTACGAAGCCTTCGACATCTGATTTGTACTGGTGATATCGCGTGACTGGTTTGCTGTTTGTTCCCCTGTCACGATTCCAAAAGGGCATTTGGTTCTGCTTTCGTTGTAGACCGAAGCTATTTACACGTGTAATTGTGTACTCGTTGCTATCCTGACAGGCTTATTGGTACCGCAGCGACAGTGGCACCAATGAGTTACCACCGACTCAGATACAGGAACGAGGCTAGCATCAAATGCCGCCATCGACAGCAACGAAGCCATCTCTAGGAGGCAGTCGTACATCTTACATACAAGATAGTCCACATGCTCCGTCGCGAGTGTTTCACGTCGACTTTTTCACCACATTGTGACACAAGTCGATCAAGGTTCCAACTGGATTGCCACTTTGTTGATGTGAAATTACTGACGTGCACATCGTCATCAAACATCAACTTTGCCGACTTTCCAGTACTGAACAACGTCACATCGAGCAGTAGCATCGCCAGCATGGATGCGTTCAGCATGTAATATATGGACAGCGAAGCGACCATCTTGACTGGACCGGGGTGCGACGAATGAATGTGTGTGCGCGCCGATCACTTGGGGCAGTTATCAATAGTACAAGGACAAAAGCAAAGAAGGAATAGAGTTTCGAGATATGAAGCTCCGATTGTGCTACTAATTTTTGTACGACCCATGTAGTCTGAGGACCTTCAGGTATGAACTTGAAAGCTGATCGGTAATCAGTGAGTTTCCTCGGACCCATTCGTCTTGGGGTCTTGGGATATCTTCCTACCTTACAAACTTCGTAAATAACATCAAATTGTCCATCAATCGCAAATTGCGCTTCCGTGTTCTTGGTTGGGTCGGCATATTGTAGCTACTCGTAGCTACACCTTCGTCTCTGCAGTGACATGATCATTGCATCATTAATGACACTACTCCATCGACCCTTTCGTGAATTGACGGTGGCGGGGTGCCGTACGACTCTCTCCATGATACCAAAGAGGATTGCCACATCTGCGAACATCACCCCTGCTCTAAGCATGTCCTTTGTGAATTGTGCCTCGAAATCGCACTGTAACCAGCATAGCGATGGACGCAGTGACAAGATCCTTCTGCACAGTTTTGCCATCTGGACGACAAGCATGTCGATGGATAATTGCGATAGCATTGGGTACTTCGATTCCTTACCGAATGTCTCAGCCGCGACATCACAATTGTTCTCTCTGAGGTCGTATAGGAACTGTACATCTGATCAGCTTCTGGGTTTTCTCATCGCCTTATTGCAGCAATGAGGGTTGTCATCTTCACGTTTCGATTTTGCTGCAGTAGCATTGGCCATACTATGTAATTAGCGAGAAATTATTCTGACGTTTTCAAGCTAAGTCAAGACGGACGCAGAATTATTCAACACCGATGTCTATCAAATGACGCCCTTAACCAGAAATTGGACCCGATACCTTCGTATAAAATACGGCCCTTCATCAAATGCATTGTGAACTTCGCCCGACAAACGTTCATATCTGGAGAATTTGTTTTTCGTGAGAAGACGGTCGTGCTCTCTCTGTGAGGTGCATCGAGATCTATCGGTAGGCGCGATACTAGTGCAAGCGTCTTCCGACTCACCGACAGGAACGGCCCGACAAAGGTTAGTCGCGTCGAACTATAAATGGGATGGTTATAATCTTTTCCGCAAAGATAAACCAATGATTGCAACGGTCGTTACTGGTTCGCCTGGTAGTGAAAGGGTCTGCTTGAGTGTTGATCGTGCGTACGCTCTAGCAAGATGTGACCTCTTCCGGAAGTCACTTTGAACGTCGACAGCAGAGCTTCACGAATTAATCGGCAGCTTGCACTACCGAGCCGTAACAAACGACAACGACAGCAGCAGTCAGTAGTCAGTGGACTTTCTCCTGCCATCAGAGTGCACACACTTTGCAGAAGCTTACTCTGAAAGCAAAAGACGTGTAACGATTCCAGTGCATCATCCCTGTTGCCGTAACAATCGTCGCAATGAGGCCCGGCAGCTTAAACGTGAGGACCGCCTAGGTAATCCACGTCCCAAAATCTTCTGCCACTACGCGTACCAATTACCATTTCAGCTAATAAACACAAGATGCACGCAGTTGCAGCCGTTCAGTGACCGACCATGCACACTTGTGTTCAACAGTTACCCCCTTCATCAAGCCTCACGCCTTCACGTCTAACTTTCGTTCAGCCACTGTCAGTCGCTTGCAAATACCAAGTACCTCGCTGCTATCAGGAAGCTTATGGCCCATTCCAGCCTCGCACCAAGACCACCAAGTGGTACAGGAACTACAAGAGTTGCGTGCATCATTGCAAGAGCAAGCGCTTGAGCTGGAAAAAGGATCATCACACTCGAACAATCTCGGCTTAAAGTGGCTACAGCCGCTAGCCACCAACTGAGGTGTTCCCCGTCTAACCAAAGAGATCATTTCCTCCATCCTCCCGCGCACGCTCGCCAAAGAGATCGTAGGCTGCATTACACTTGCGTCGGAAGCGCAGTACGATCGGCCGCGGCGTCTTACTGACAAGCGATTTGAATTGTGCGGTATTGGCAACACTCATACCGTTCACGGCGACCACGTAGTCACCGACAGCGATACGCCCCGAAATTGCAGCCGCACTTGAGGGGACGCACTCGCGCACAACAACCGATCGTCCGGTCTGCTCGGCGACAAGACCCAGCGAGGTGCCAGAGAACTCCACCTCGAACTCGTCGTCGCCACCCGTGGATGCTGCCTCCAGCTCACTTGCAGCCGGCGCCTCCCCAAACAGCGTGTCCGAAGTAGTTGCAGTCACGGAGTTATCGTTGTCCTGCAAGTCGTCACTGATTATGACCACATTCACTGACCACCAGGTTTGAGCTTCTTGTAGCGTGAACGTTGCCGTGTAGCCCCGATTGGCCTTTAGCCGTGCAGTCTTGCGTGTTGCGTAGATGTTACAGGCGTTTGATTGCACTGTGAAGTAAACGTCACCTGACGTCAGCAATGTCGGCGTGTAGCCGTAAGCAAATACCACTAGAGCACGGTCGGATCGCCATGATGTCGCACTGCCTCCCGCAGCTGATGCGGTTCCAACTTCGCTCGAAGCATCCAAAATGCTTGCGAGGTGCTGCCGCCCTATTGGAAGAGCTCGCAGTGATGCTCCGTCGTTTAGCTTCGTGTTCATCACCAACGAATGTCGCGAGTTATTGATCAGGGCAAGAGCAACGCACCCGCGTGCCTCCAGACCTGTGTGGTTGGCATCCCAGTCATACACTAGGTGTCGTACTTGACGCAAAAAATCCGTGTTACAGCGGCACTTGTCCAGTGCTCGAGAATGCTTTCGCACGATTTCATCATTCGACAAGTTCTCAAAACGAAAAGGGACGGCCAGCGAACTACTACTATTGGCATTCAAAGAGTCCGATGTAAGCAATCCGGGAGCCACGGCGCCAGCAGCTGCAGCCGGGTCAGCTCTACCACGCAACGTCGAGACGAGTGATGTAACACCGCCGGTCACCATGCTCGTGACAAGGGACGTCACCTCGATCGAGTCTATCAGATTGAGCGCCTGTGACTTCACAGATTGCTCGTAAAAACGCATTATCGACGAGCTCAGCGACTCCGGCGTGGCCAGTGCGTGAGATAACCGATAGCCCTCTAACGTCACGCACGCGTTTTCGATCTTGATTTTAAGGTTGGAGAGCCAAAATCCATTGTTGCCACGACGGCTCGAATCACTTTTGTTGCGCGCAAAACTTACGAGTACACGCACGGGCGAGATTTCGCCCGATGCGATGTACAACTTCCGACCTGTCATCGATGCCATGTCGACCACACTTGTACACTCTTCGCCTGTTTCCTGATGCGTAAAATAGGCGAGCAAGTCGCATTCGTCGTCGTCGTCCCCATTACTGATATGTTCATCTGGGAAAGCAGAAACCAACGACTTATGCTGAAAATGCGCAACTGTTTTCTGCTGCAACTTGTTGAGACGGTCAACAAAGCGCGTGGATGTCGATACCTTCATGTTTTGCAGTTCCACTCGGACTCGCTCCACCCACGTGTATTTCGCGTGTGGTCTCTCGAGATACGTCAGCTCAAGAAAATGTTTGTCCCTTCTTCCTTTTACAGGACCGAGAGTACTGTCGCCTTGTAAGAGTGGTCGCAGCACTACACGGTTTTTGGATCGTGGAAGCAGGTCCTCTACCTTTAGTCCCGCGAGGGTCAGTTTGGCAGCAGTGGCCTGCGACGACCAAGACGCCTCCACACCAACGCTTGTAAATGTCGCACGAGCTACTAACTCGCTTGCCCCTTCTGATTCCCCTGCAAACAAACTCTGAGACTCCTCCACCATCCCAGCTTGTTTCTTATCGGTAACTGTGACAATAATGCCGGCCATGTGTGCGTGAAGACTAAATGTTTGCCATTTAGCTGTCCCAGTACTTGCTACTGTATCCCTCGCGGATGGCGAGAATGCCAAACCAGCACTTGACAGTCTTGATGACGAAGAGGTCGGAGAACTGGTGACCATGTTAGTCACCACAACCACGAAAGAAGCCTGAGATAAGCTACCCCTCTTCACTGCCACCCTCAAACGGACACCGCGCCCACTAGAACGTGGCGGCACCAACAAGTCCACTGTGCCTACACGATAGACAGCAAAGGTTGCACTCCAATCGTAGCCTTCACCACACAGCGTGTCAGTGTCATGATCCAAAAGCACTGACGCGCGTAGCAAAGCTCGAGCGCCTCCCACCCAGTAGAGTGCATACATGTCTTTTGCTCCAAGTACATGATGCGCAACGTTGTCGTTGCTAGAATCTTCTAATTGCTCATGTTGACGGCTCGAAGTCTCACGCAGTAACAGTGTGTGTGACGATTGATTGAAGATCAGATAGCGAGGGATGACACTTACAAGAGTTGTGACCGAGCCAAAGTGTCGGGTCGCGTAGTCTGCTGACACGCCCAGCTCATACAGTACGTCACCCGAAGACAAGCTGCCACTAGCGGAGCGGAGCGTAATGCACTCATCTTGCCAGCTGAGTCGTTTGGGGTCGGCTTCAAACCGTGCCGACCAGGTGCAACCACGCAAGCCAACACGCACCACAGGCACTTTTCCGCTACTATCGCTCGAGTACGCACTGATTTGGGCGTTGCCCACCTGAGCACGTGCTGCACGGGGTGGTATGTAAGCTTCACTGTCTGAAGCTGTGCCGTACACCAATTCCAAACCCGTGCGGTTGATGACCCAGATGTCGGACAGGAACTCCACACGTATAGGTCTAGAAGCGTGATCGGTATCTCCTACCACGCGCAGAAGAAGTCGAAAAAGGCGCCCATCATCCACGCGAAAAAGCTGTACGGACAATACTGCCCCACTCGCTGTTCCACGAGGTGCTAGCTCTAGCCACTTAGACGGTAGTGTGCAGCCTTCTACGAGTAATTGAAATAGAGGTCGCTGCGAAATATCGGTCCACCAGATACTGGCCTTGCCTCCCACAGCGATCGTTTCTGGCTCCGATGGACTATCGCTTACCCCCAGTCCATAAGCGGAGCTCATGGCTGACCGCACGCGGTAAGTTAGTCGCACCGGTAGCTTATTGATGAGAATAAGCGGTTCGGCGACAACCAGAGCACGCATCTCTTTGTCGCTCAATATAGAAACGCAGTACACAGCGTTCTGACGATTACACTTATTGACCACGCTCACACCTGAGCCTGAGGAGGCAAAGGAAGCGGCTGCCTGTACTTTAAGCTCGACCGCAGAAAGCGTCTGCAATGGAATAGGGGCGCTCCACGAGTATGAGGCCCCGTCCTCTGCTGGTCGCAGGCGCAGCTCCGACGCAAGAGAAAGGAGCACAGGGATAGCTGAGTCTTGATTTGGCCTCAAGATCCCGATCTCGACTGGTGATTGCCATGTCGGGTCGTTTACGAGTAACGCAACGGGACGGCATGACGTTAACCGGTTCACCAACTTGATAGGTGACGAGATGATCAGCAAGATACGACCCTCAACGAGCTGGGCCGACAAGCTTAGTGTAAAGCTTGTTCTCTGCCCATGGGTATCCACCAGATGGAATGTGCGGGCGCCTAGCTGCTCAAGAATAAGTCCTTGAATGGACTGAAACCGTGCCACACTGCTGCCGCCCGTGCTTTTTGAGTCCATCAACTGCAAACTGAGACGTAAATTGGCAGCGTCCCGATCACCAGATGCATAACGCCGAACCACACCACGCCCTCGACCTGAAGCATGAATGTAACGAACATCAGCCGAGCTTGTTGCAGATAAAACTTGAGGCTTTGTCGTAAAAGACCCGTTCGTGAGCCAAAAACTCAGCGGCAGCCCGGTCTCGTTGCAGATTACACAAGGGGCCAGTTTGCGTTGCTTTCTTTCTTGTGCTTCATTTTCGTTTCCTTCAGCAAGTTTCTGTGCTGTAAATGAAGCTGCACGACGCTTCCACGCGCCACCCACAGATGCCATTACCTCCAACAAACCCTGCGTAACAGTGAGGTCGAGGGATTGAGATGCCGTAAGAGTGACATGCAACTCACTTTCGCTTGAAATGGATCCCTGGACTGACGCATCAAGTGACCACTCCGTGCACATGGGGTGCCAGTCGCGAGTATCCGGGTTATAATAAGACATGAGCACCACCAAGCTCCCTCCGCCAGTTATTGTTGTCGTTACTGGTAATGCAGACCAGTCCTGTTCCAGCAAGGAACTAAATGCGACGTCATGCTCCTCCGCTTGCGAGACATCGGTCAAATTTAAGAAAATTTGGCAACGCTCGATCTGCAACTGCGCAAGCCCCATGTCGCATCCATCACAATCATTTATCAGAGTCAGGTTGATGGACGGCAGCTTACACGTAAAGTATCGGTGAAATTCTTTCTCCTGTGCAGTGTCTCCTAGAATTGTCCTTGACGACGTACGCGACCTTGCCCGTGGACGGGAACTGGAACTTTCAGTACGCGACAATTGACGGGAGTTAAAGGTACTACGATTCTTTCCGTGTCGTAAAATCGCTTCGCTTACAAATTCCATTGTGTCCATTGCCATACAAGCGTCTTCGTAAGACACAAATACTTCAATCGGGGTAAAGCTCAACGCCACGATCTGTTGTTGCTGGCCCGCACGCGGAAACAGATCGCTCACTTCCATGTGCAATGAGCATGGTTCAAGCAACTGAATCAACGGTGCAATATCAATACCATCCCACTGCGCATTGGAAGATGGAGACGCCACGCAACATCCCGGCCGTCTGGCGTTCTCAAGCACTATTTCCACATTGTGCACATCAGCAAGAATTCTGCTTTGGATATTTAATCCACAATCAGCCTCTTTGTTTGAGTCGGAGCGTGGTTTCCACGTAAACTCGAGCGTAAAATCGCCTGCAAGAGCTACACGTGGGCTCTCCGGATCTTGCACATTGTGCGGAAGCGCGACACCCACTCGCTTCGCTGTCGCACGAATAGTGATTGCCATTTCCGGGTCCTTTCCATCGCGTAATATATCAGATATACTTTCGCGCCGCGTCGACAGAGCTGTAGATGACGGTATTGCACAAGCCCCATGTGACGTCATTTCGTTGGTCGGGTCGGTCAAGTCTTTTCCTACCATATTCGTAGCCTGACTCAGCTTTGACGGTAGCGTGAAGAACCCAAGAAGCGCAAATAGAGCTTCCGGGATAATGGTGCCCGTAACATCGGAACAAATTAAGTGCAGTTCACCCAAAAGCGCAATGTCGTCCCATGTGTAGCGTATTTCCAGAGGCTGGGGTGAAATAAGCAGTGCCACACTTTTCGCATCACCAACTGAGTCTTTACACGTTCCTACCAGATCTCGAGCATTGAAAGCTCCCAGACGCAGCGCCAAGCACGGATTCTTATCAATTTCGTTTCCGAAACGTAGCGAAAAATCACTGGCGGTGACCTCAACAAAGGCCCCTTTGCGAAGAGTTTGTGCGACGTCTGAAAGGGCGTGCTGCACAATCGTATCGACTGGAATGTCACTGTTTGCGAGTGGTTTCACCTTCTCATCCAAGAACAACAGTATTCGGACATCTTCCATAGCAAATTGCACCTGAAATGTTGTTTCATCCGCGTTTGGCTGGAGATACGTATACGTCACAGTGGGGCGTAATGACGGTACTCCACCGGCACCTGTACTACTGCGTCTTCTACCAAGTAATCGAACAGCGCTGACAGCTCGCTCATTCTCTTCCGTTGCGTCAGAATTGTTTTGTAGTTCGTCGGCACCAAAATTCGACAATATGAGGGCGACTATACCCAAGTAGCTGGTACGGGATAAGTGCACTTCCAACGGAGGTAAGACCGAGCTCACGGTAAGTCGCGGAAGAAATACTGCTTTCGTTTCGTCGCTGCTGGCCAAATTTTTATCGCCTAAGCAAATTGTAGATGACACAAGGTCCTCTATGCTGATCTTCAGGGCAGCAGGCTTAGGCAGAATGTCTTCGTATACAGGCCTTCCATCGGCATTTTTCGTTTTTCCGCCTGCATTCGTTGCCGTACAAAAGATACGAACGCGCTCAAGAAAAAGGTCTTTACAGTCCACTCGCAACGCGATACCTCCAGCTCCATCAACAGGTCTACCAGACGCTGGACGCACCGAGTCTTCATCATGCACAACCCGCTTACTTCTTGCTTCCAAACTTTCATCGTAGTGCACTACGCTGGACGGAAAATGAACTAGTCGTAACACATCTGCGGTCACCTTAACATGGGGAGCATCTTGTAAGCTTAAAGGAAGCACCAGCGTGGGTTTCAGAACACTCAAATCAAGCACAACACTGGCCTCATCTTCGCGGAGTATCAGCTGCGTTGCGTTCACCAGCGTTCGACTTACCATTGCGCCCAGTACCCCTTCAAAAACAAAGTCCACAAGCTCTAAGACTTGCTGGTGGTAGTAAACGCCACGGACAGGTTGAAATGCCAATCGCAAAGCACTCTTTTCACTTGCGGACGGGTCACTTGCAAACTCGAAAGTCAACAAAGCTTCCACTTCTTTTCCCAATTTGCTGCAGCAACAAACTTCACCGGCATCCAGACCAAGTAAAGTCGAGTACAAGGGGTGCTTTGATGTACTCAAGTCTGTGCCCACAAAATTTCCCACGTGACCCGTTACCTCGAACGAATCGTCAGAGGATGTTCGGCCGTCTACCATATAGCTGGTATAGTTAACGGCTGCATTGCTCAGATCTAAGCGTGCCAGTTGCCGGTCGAGCTGGTCTTTGTTCAAAGTCAAACTGAACTGAACCAGCGATGCTCGCACCACAATGACAGGCTGACCTCGAGACCGCAAACTGGAAAGCATGGCAACTCTCTCCTTCTTCTCGCCGCATCTGGTTCGACTTGTCGTCTCTAGAAGACATTCTCGGTGAAACGATGATGCCGATCTTTCTCGTGGAGGCGTTAAATCTACAGGCGGTTGAAACGCAGATGCATAGCCGGAAAGAATGCGATAAAATAGCGCCACAGACGACGGATTCCACTGTAAATGTAGCACATTCACTTGCACATTAGCTTCCAGCTGCGCAGGACCCCCTCTTCTATTCTGCTCTTTCGTTTCAGCGGAGTCTGCAGAAAATGCAGCAACATCAATAGCGATCAGATGAGGGGCCTCATTCACGTTTTCACCCGTAGAAATCAACCTGTAGAATCGCGAATTGGAATCATAGAGCTTGTCTTCCATTATAAGCGCCTTGAGTCGTGCACGGTACAAGTGGTGACCCGAGTACGCTTCGACTGCAAATGAAATACGCGATGCTCGCAAAACAAATGCGTCCTTGGCAGCTGACTCGCGTAGGTTCAATTCCACGCATCCAAGCGAAAGTTGCATCTCAAGTAGGAACTTCTCGCCTACCGTAACGGCAGCACCAGTCACCTTGTCAGGGCGTTCGTCGCTGATACTATCTGACTCGGCTGTATCATACTCTAGCTCTTCCTCTACAAAATATGACAAACGTCTATTGTTCCTGGTGATCGCAGTACTTGCTTGTATAATAGATGAATGAATCCGTCCCAGTGCCACGAGCTGTTTTTCAGTTAGCAATACAGTTATCGTATCAATAGCAGCGTGGACACCCACTTGCGGCAGCGGCTTGACTGCAACAACATTCTCTTTCCCCCGCGAGGGAAGTCTCAGGCGTGAAGATGATGATTGTGTTTGGAACAAACACTCAACAGAGAGATCTTCCACAATTTTGGTAAAAGCCTGTAGCTCTTCGTTCGTCCAGTCCACCAAATGCTCATGGCGGCCGAGCAATGCATAGATTTTTGTCAACTTTAGACGCCAATGCAAGCGATGCGGGTCGTCAGCTGTAGTACCAAGGATAACGTCCGAAGACTTTTTGATCGGCGTCACCTTCTCTTTGTTGCAAAAGCTCAGCATACCAAGATCGATGACAAGAACCGCGCCAGTCGTGTCGGCTATATTCTCTGGTAGTACAAGCACAGGTGCATTCATGTTCACCAGGATGTCGTACGCAATACGGCCTGCTGCCTTTTCCAGTGAACGCATTAACTCAGCTTCTTTGGCTTCCTTTTGTGCACTACGACTGGATGACTGCAAGATCGCTGTTTGATCTGTAGGATCATCAGAAAACATCCAGTCTGCTACGGAAGATGTCGCGAACTGCCAGACTTTTTCAAGCTGCTTCTCTGACAGCAAGCTGACGAAGAATGCGTGCAGAAACATCACGAATGTCGGATCAATCATCACACGAATAGGCTCTGAGCTCACACGTACATTCAGCGTGGCGTGTACGTCATCATCACTCCGTGCATGGGCTTCCCGCACCATTACTCGCCGACTTATATCAATACTGACGCAAGCTGTGCGCTGCTCGACCATGGGTGATGGCAAGGCTGACGGACTGCAGAACGAGCGAAACCGAGGATTGCTCGCCAACCCGTTGAGAATGTCGAAGTGCTGAACGCATAACCTGACATCGTACTCATCTTTTGGCTGGACGTTTACAGCAAGTGACCCCTTAAACACGCCAATGACGAACGGACGCTTGTGAGCATTTGACTGATATAGAGCCATCGAGCCATTTACAAGCTGGATCTGCACAGACACAAGGTTGCACCCAAGCGGCACTTCGTGCGCACTGCTAGCTTTTATCACAGCATCATCGTAGGCCTCACGCAAATTCTCACGTCCTTCCGCAGACAGCACATGCCCCTCCTCTTCGTTGTCCTTTCCAGTAGCAGCAACGGCATCTCCACCAAAAAAGTACGAATACCACGACCCATCACCGTTCTGGGCATCCTGGGACTTCGGTTGTGCCTTTGCAAACGCCTCTGCTTCTTTTCGTGCACGGTCTTCGGCGTCTTCGACGACATCACGCAAGTGCAAAACTACGTCGACAGGGTATATCTCTTCATACCGCTGTTTGAATTTACCTTGTCTAGTTGAGGGATCCAGAGAAGCCCCATTGCGCAATTCCGCACGAAAAGACTCCATGTATAATTGCTGCTCAAGCACTGCTTTATGTATAGAAGACCATCGCATTTTACGACAATGAAGCCGTCGTCGTTGATGCAAGAGGAGCGTATCAGCGCCCTTCACCTGATCTCGAAGCTTTGCCCTGCGTTGCTCAAGCACCAGGCGAGTGGCGTAGTCCCACCACTCACGAGGGCGCGTTCCGGGTGTGTGCAATGGCCGTCCCCTCGCCAGTGCAAAGTGTGCTTCTACAGCGCGCCGACCTAAAAATGCACGTTGCAAAAACAGCACATCCTCATACTGTTCGCGCGTCAAACTTCCCTGTAGCGCACCTATTTCCGCTTCGACCGTGTACTTAGCAACTGCCAAGTAGTTGGCACTCTCATTCTTCGTAAGCTGTACCATCAATGAGCAGGGGCGCAGCACCCATCGCCTCGACATGTCGGCGTGCTCGTCTCCCTCTTCTCTGAGTGCATCTACCATTTTTCGCATCACTTTTGGAATATTTTGGTCAGTCTCGAGTCTCGAGCTATCGTCGGTAGTGTCCAGTCGGTCCCAGTACATTCCAAATTGCGTGAGTTCTGCCTTTTTATAAGTAAAAGCGCTGTGCACGGACGTGTGATCCACAAACGCTTCTTGTCCTTCTCCGTCCGTTGTAAAGTAGCGAAACCGCTCGAGCATGAGACCACACGCAAACGGTGCGTCAGGATTAGCCACCGCATCTTCGTACCTCACGTGCACACCAAGCAGCGTCACCTGCAAGTTGTCCACGATACGAGCCGTCAGCCTCGACGCAAACGTGCTCTCATCTTCCGCTTTTTGATGCGGTGACTGCCGAGCTGGAGCCATGCGGGCGGCAAAGCGACCATGTTGTCGAAGCAGCTCTCGCCTCTCAAGCTGGTTTTTCTTGGCCTGGAGCACTTCTGCTGCTGTCGCTCGCTCGGTATTGGGTAAGACCAGAGCCGCCACTCCTTCGAGAGTGATGGTCACACTAGCACTTCCCAATTGGTTCCACGGTACACGCACGAGGACACGCGCCACGCTGCCACTGGCTACAGTCAGAGGAAGCTGCAGCTCGGCCAACGCGTGTGGCTTGAGTGTCAGGTCACGCAGCTCCAGTTCTCCGCTCCAGAGCCCCACAACGAGCGAGTCGCTGCGGAGACCGTCAATGTATTTGCCTAGTTGCGCCTCGAGGATCTGAGGATAGAAGCACAGAGAGAACGCAATAGAGAGACAGAGAGACAGGAGGAGAAGGCAATCAGTACGAAGGAGATAGAGAGGAGGAGAGGGACTCATAGCGGTGGACAATGCATGCGAGACATACGGACGTGATGATGGCCTTGGCCATGGCGAGGTCCGCCGATCGGGCGAATGAGGCCGGGACGGTTTGTTTTCTTTCGAGATGGACACTTGCGGCTGGACAGGATTGCGATTGCAGTGAAGCGATTTGAAAAGTTAGTGGATGTTTGTTCAGGAGAATACGTTGGCTTTCGAAGATCGTTAGAAATATAGGTTGGGTGAGCTAGAGATAGGGCTGTGCTTTAGAAATGCAACAGACTGATCGATCGGTTTAATAGATACAGAATGTAACAGAATGGTAGATCAATTGTTTTGTTTCGGATGGTGCTAACACAAAACTTGCAAGATGAAATACGAAAAAGTGTTGTTGACCGCAGCTATTTTATAAGGAAGTGATGTAGGGAGTCGTTGTTGGAATGTTGGAAATGGGTGCAAGGGTGCGTAACGGTGATCGGAGTGTTCGGCCGGTGACTTGGGGTTTATTTGGAAACCTGATATCACAAACTCGCTGTGCGTAAAAGGTGGACGCAGAGTGACAAGCAGGATAGTGACCCGAGTAGAGCCAGAATGCGTGTGAGATGGATGACTGGAGCAGAGGGCTTTGGCGAGCATGGCAGAGAAGAGAGACCTAGTAAGGAAATACAACAGAATCTTATTGTTCACCTAACGCTTCCTTCTCGCAACACGCATCTTGCCTACACTTATGAGCTTAATGGCCGCAACCACCGAACTGACAACGAAGACACTAGGGGTGTCCCGCTAGCCACGCCTGGGCGCGGCTAGCCAGCGCGTGCGCCTACCGCACCCGCAGTCGTTAACGATGGACCCGCTCGCGAGAGCGGGAAGCGAGACGATAAGATTCTCGCCGCGCTCGCCGCACTCACCGATCGACTGGCGAGCCTCGAGTCGTCGCAAAGAGTGCGAGACGAGGAGGAGCGCATGCTCGGGGCCGTGGAGAGCGGACTGCTCGCCTCGAAACTCGGCGCCAACATGCGCGGCCGACCAATGACGATTGACGCGATCGGAGACGCTGAGAAGAAGGCACCGGTACCACGTGGGTACCAGCGCGACTGATCTTGGCGCGTCGCGAGTCGCATCGCTCGAGCCACCTCGCGCGCGCAGCACCGCAGCTGCAGCAGCGCTCACCAGCGTCTGCGCCACCTCCGCAGGAGTATGCAGCGCTACCGCCGCGGCAACAAGTCACTCCGCCACAAGCCTATGTGCGACCGGGCCTCAACGGCTACGGGATGCCGTCATCAAACCAGCGGAAGTTGAACATACGCAAGTTCGATGGTACGGTGCTGTACCGCGGACTCGGGAGCGGATTCTTTGACTGGGGGCGTGCGTTTCTGCGCGCGGTGAGCCTCGCGGAAGCGTCGTGTGGTTTTGGATGGACCAAAGACGTCAAGGTTGACCTGCTTGGGCACTTTCTCGCCGGCACAGCTGAGAGGTACCATCACAAGCAGGTCGATACCTGGTGGACGCAGTCACCCACACTGGAGTACATCATGGAGCAGCTCCTGCGCACGTTCAAGACGTCAATCACTGCACTCCAGGCGATGAAGTTATTTGTGGCCAAGAAGGACGCACGACGCACCTGGGCCGAGCACTTCCTGTACATGGTCGCCGTTGGCGAGGCACGCGGTGGTGCCGACTCGCTTGTTCTTGATAACATCGTCCACCACGCTTCGCCGGAACTGCTGAACGTGATGCGCTCCAAGTATGAACCCACTCGACTCGACTACCTGCGCCATGCCGAGGAGCTGGCGCACTTCGCGCAGTCCATTGAGCACGATAGCAGCGCGGTGGGTCGTGAGGTCGTCGCCGCGCTCGTGCTAGGCAAACCCAAGGGCGCGATCACGTGCTACCGATGTAGGCGACCAGGCCACATCGCAGCCGACTGTCGCGCGCGAGTCGTGCACGACGACGAGACACCCGAGGAGGGTGGAGGCGCCAGCAAGATCCTTGCACTGACCGAGAAGCGCAGAGCGACCACGAAGAAGCGCAACAGGAGGAAGAAGGGCTTGCGCGGCAAGGACGCCGCAGCGACCAATGCAAGCGATGGATCGCGAGCCATAGACGGCTCATGCGGCTTCGTGCTTTCGACGAGCGACGGAGTACGAGCCACGGACGGCACGCGCGGCCTCGTACTTGCGGCGACCGATGCCACGGGAGTCGGCCGAGGAGACTGTATCCTCGATAGCGGCGCGAGCCGGCATCTTGTCAACGACGAGTCGCTGCTGCTCAAGTCGACGGCTTGCAGCCAAGAGATTGCAATGGCAGACTGCGAGTCGCTTCACCTGACGCGTGTCGGCAGCGTGCGCCTCGAGGTTCTTGCGCGCGGCGCTGAAGCGGTAGTGACGCTCACGGATGTGTACTTGGCGCCGCGACTGGCAAAGAACATCGTGTCTTACGGCAAGCTCACCAACAAAGGATTTGCCCTAGTGCACTCCGGCGAAAGGCGCTCGCTTTCTCGGTGCAGAGATGGTACGGTCGCGTTCGATGTCACAATCGACAGCAACGTGCTGTATGTCGTGACGAAGGCCACGCGCGACAAGGAAGGTGCAGGCTGCGACGCGATCATGGCGGCGCTCGAAGCGCATGCCACGGAAACCAACGCCGACGAGCCGCACGAAGCCTCGCTGTTGCACTGGCACCAGCGACTCGGCCACCTTGCGTTCGACACGATCGAACGCATGGCTCGCGATCCGGCATCGGGCATTCGGCTCAGCAACAACAAATGTAAGGCGTGCGTGTCGTGCCTCGAGGGCAAGCAGAATCGCAACGCGCAGTCCCAACAAGACAGCGGCAAGCACTCGCCCATCGATCGCATCGGCGGCGTCATCTGCTCGGACCTGAAGGGTCCAATGAAGCCGCGGGACCGACTCGGCAATCGTTACCTTGTGAACTTCGTTGATCACAAGATCAACTACTGCCGAGTCTTCCTCGCGCGCACGAAGGACGCTGCGGCGAAGCAGTTCGAGGTGTTCCTCGTCCACTTCTAGAAGCTTTTCGGGTTCAAGGTCCACGTGCTCCGCACGGACGGCGGCAGAGAATACGCCAACGTGGACCTGTTCTGCGAGCGCACGGGCGTCGCGCGCCAAGTGTCTGAGGCGCAAAAGCAGGCCTCAAACGGCAAGGCGGAACGAATGCACCGGACAGTGCTGAACCTTGCGCGCAGCATGATCTTTGCCTGTGCGCTGCCCCTGATGTTCTGGGGAGACGCGGTACTGTACGCCGTTCACATCCTCAACCGGAGCCCTACGCGAGCAAATGCAAAGAGAGCGTCACCACTCGAGGTGCTGACGGGCAAGACGCCGGATCTGCGTAAAATTGTCGTTTTTGGCTCCCAGTGCAGCGTGTATAGAGACCCGCGGAAAAACTCGCTGCTGCAGCGCTCGGGGCGCGCCATCACTGTCGGCGTCAGCGAGGAAACCAAGGGCTACAAGGTGCTGCTGCCGCGTAACAATAAAGTGGTCGTCACGCAGCACATCAAGAATATCGAGACATTGACGGAGGCGCAAAACGCGCAACTCCAGCGCGCGATGGACGTCGGCGATCGAGCCGGAGGCCAGGAGGAGACGGACGCGCCAGCAACAGTAGTGGCGAACGATGGTCGCGCAGAGGGCAACAGGGAGACGCGTAAAAGCAGAAAGCGATGGACGCGAGCGGCGCATGGAACACGCGGGGCGTTGAAACGCGCAGAAGCGGGCTGCTCGTCAGGAGGAGACAGCCGCGAGCGAAGAAGTCGTAAATGCTGCTTTCGAGCACGATCCGCTTGACTACGGACAGGCGATGCGCAGCGGCAAGCGCGAAGGGTGGGAGAAGGCGATGCAAGAGGAGATCGCCACGCTCGAGGCCAACGACGTCTGGACTATCACAAGGCGAACGGCAGGACAGCATGCTCTGCACACCAAATGGGTCTACAAGACCAAGACAGATGCGCAGGGCGACCTCGAGCGGCTGAAGGCGCGACTGGTGGCGTGTGGCAACGAACAGGTGCTTGGCGTCGACTACACGCTCACCTTCGCTGCCGTGATGGACCTATCGACGGTCAGAGTGATCTTGGCGCTTGCGGCTATCGGGAAGGGGTTCCTGCCAAGCACGGCGACCTTTCAAACGCCTACGTAAAAGCGGACAAGGAGCCGCACCTCCGCATCTATCTACAGATGCCGCGCGGCATGCCAGTCTCGGAGGAGACGCTACAAGCGCAAGGCGTTTCGAACGCGAGCGAGCTGGTGTTTAGGCTGCGGAAGAGTCTCTACGGGCTCAAGCAGGCAGGCCGGCTGTGGAGCCAGCTGCTGCACTCGAAGCTCATTACTGCCGGTTTCACGCGGTGTGAGAGCGACATGTGTTCTACTGGAAGCGCGACGGCGAAGACCTCGTCGTGGTCGGCGTGTACGCCGACGATCTTAAAGCGACAGGGACGAGCGCGGCAGCGGTCGAGCGGTTCTTTGACAGCCTCGCGTCGTTGTCGATCAAGGACCTGGGGCGTGTCAACAAGTTCCTGGGAATGCGCGTGACGCACAACGGTCAGAATGGGTACACGCTCGATCAGGAGGAGGCCATCAGAGACCTCCTACGCGACAACGGACTCGCTGAAGCCAACTCGACGTGGACGCCGATCGACGACAGCTGCTACGAGTTGGAGGAGGGCGACGCGGAGCTTCTTGGGACGCCAAGCGCGCAATTAGGACCGACTGGGCGCCAGTTTCAGTCGCTGGTCGGCTCGCTGCTCTGGGTGGCGCGTTGCACGCGCCCTGACATAGCGTTTGCGGTGCACAAGGTCACGAGACGAGCCCATGCGCCTTGACTAGCAGACTGGAAGTTAGCTAAACGCATCGCGCGATACCTCAAGGGTACGGCGGAGCTTGAGATCACGATGATCCCAGAAGACAATTATAGGTGCGGCGATGCGACTAGAAGCGTTCAGCGACGCCGACTTTGCCGCCGACAAGACGGAGCGGAAGTCAATGACGGGCGGCATCGTGATGCTGAACGGGATGGCCGCCAGCTGGGGTGCGCGGAAGCAGGGAGACGTCTCCCTGTCGACGATGGAGGCGGAATTTGTCGCGGCGAGTGAAGTCGCGCGCGAGCTGCTCGGCCTGCGCGAGATGTTGTGTGAAGTTGGCGTAGAGCCCGCGCTTTCGATGCAGTTGCGGGTGGAAAACCAAGCGGCGATCGCGCAGATCGCGGGAGAGGCATCGTCGCTGAAGGCAAAACATGTGGATGTGCGCCTTAAGTTCCTTTGCGACTACTCGCGTCGCGGCATCATCACGGCGAGCTAAGTCAGATCGGAGCAGATGCTCGCAGACCTTCTTACGAAGGCGTTGGACGCGACGAAGCTCTCGAAACTGCGCGCGCTCGTGCGCATTGGTTAAGAAAAGGTCCAGGACGATCAAGGAGCTCAAGGATCGAGGAGCACAAGGACAAGGACATTTGCAAGCTCAAAAAACGGAACTGGTGTGAGGGCAAGTCACGACCGAGGAGGAGTGTTGTTGGAATGTTGGAAATGGGTGCAAGGGTGCGTAACGGTGATCGGAGTGTTCGGCCGGTGACTTGGGGTTTATTTGGAAACCTGATGTCACAAACTCGCTGTGCGTAAAAGGTGGACGCAGAGTGACAAGCAGGATATGATCCGAGTAGAGCCAGAATGCGTGTGAGATGGATGACTGAAGCAGAGGGCTTTGGCGAGCATGGCAGAGAAGAGAGACCTAGTAAGGAAATACAACAGAATCTTATTGTTCACCTAACGCTTCCTTCTCGCAACACGCATCTTGCCTACAGTCGTTTAACGACGTACCACACCTTCTCTTCTATGAACCACAACCCATGTACATATTCAACAATAGGAGAGCAAGCTCTGGAGCTCGCCCTTTGATATTTGTAATCCAGTTCGGAAAACGGAACCAAGTTGCAAAAGGTACGCAACTGCAGTCACTAGAGAATGTGTAAAATGCTGTAAATGTATATGTTAACTTAGTACAGTATACTCGGGCAACGCGATTAGCCTTTTCTCATGAGCGTACGCATTTGCTACTGTGATCATACTTGTGTAAGGTTGCCTCCGTTACATAAAAATTTACAGAAGGTAATCATCAAACATGAATATTATGTTAGGACAAACATAACATTCTTACAATATTATCCTGATGGATAACATTGCTTCGTAGATGTAACACACTGCTCATTGGCTGACATAGGACTAAGATATCAACCAATAAATTCTAGCTACGACAGAAGCACGCAGTGAGTGGTGGGCAGATATTTACAGTACATGTTTTTATTCAGGCATAAATGAATGAAGTCACACAGAAATTTACTGAAAGGGTAAACTGGACTAAATGCAGTTCTACTTTTACGTTTACTGAGTACTCTTACACCGTTTAGAAATCTTCTTTTGCACGTACGTGTACGTGAGGTAATCGGACGCACACATTCTTGCACTGTCAGCAGTGCAAGGTTTATTCAGTTAGATGAATAAGGTGTGCGCCGTTACACCTGGTAGCACCTCGTTGTCTATTCAACGAATATAAACATGTTGGACGATGGAAGAATAATTTTCATCCCACGCATGAACGCTTTTCCCATTTTTTCTTGTCGAATTGAGTGGGATGCCACTGAACGTTTCTGTTCGACGATAGAGCAAGTAGCCATTGGCGCAATGCTGTCCGCCCTGGGTCCAGACGGACAGCACGCCACCATCTCTTAATTCATTCAGAAAGAACTTGACATCGAGCGGGATAAGGTAACCTTTCTGCACCAACAATATTCTCGACAGACAGAGCTGCTGAGAGAACAAAGGGCTCAACATTTTGAGCTGTTTAGACAGCAGTAGGCCACTGCTTCCGGGTCGACGTACACATGTCGACCCGAGACTCTAGAGATTGACATCTCAAAGTGCAAGGGAGCAATGATGACCCTATGTTGAGATGGTTTGTGGAACTAGACGATGCCATAAAGGCTCTTCACATCGTCAATGGGCAAAAACAGATCACTTTTGCCTAACTGAACTTGGAACGACGTGCAAAATGTGGGACTTGGACTTTAGGTACATGACGTATATGTCTTCGGGTTGCTGGAAGTCTTCAAGTACCTGCTTAGGCAAACATTTGAGCCGCCGCAAGCTGAGTTAGGGGATCTCTCCGGACACCTGAGTATAAAGAAAGGTAAACGTGACATACAATAGTACATTCAGTACATGCGTCACTTTACCAGTTACGCATAACAGTCGAGTCACTAAACGAGCAAACGCTGATAACATTGTTCACGCAGGACCTCACTGATGGTCCCGTTGAACCTTCATGTTCCGGTTGGAATCCAACAACCCCGAAAAGACCGTAAAGGTTGCGGAACAGGAGGACTTCAGCGTGAAACAGGTTCATGCAAATTCGATTTCCTATCGTCCATCAAGACGACAAGAAAACAAAGGCCTAAAACCAGTGTACCTCTGTCACGCGGGAATCGAGAGCTCTTGTGTTTATAACTACAAGAAATTGAAAATATGCAATCGACATCAGAAGCCAGGACATTATTCATACGAATGCAGTGCCCCGAACGCGGTACCACGTACTGCAGGAAACAATAACCGCCAAGAAGCAAAGAGGAGTCCAAGGCGCGGGTCTGACGCTGTTGCAAAGACGCAACGCCGTAACGGACGACCAAAAAACGGTCAGTGTCAGTTGGCGCACACTACTGATCCAGCAACGTCAAGAGATTTTTCAGGCTTATTCACGAAAGGTTCTCGTAACGCTCAATCATTGTGTGTTGCTGCTTCTGTTAATGAGATTTCCCTCATTGCCTTGAAACTCGAAGTAGCACCAAACATGTCGCTTCAAGCCCTAGTCGATCGTGGGGCTTCGAACAACTTTGCATAAAGCCAATCGCTAGACGACAGCAAGCTCGAATATATCGAGTGCGAGATCCATTCTACGAGGAAGACGGTGCACCTCGCGACAGGCGCATGCGTAACAGTGATGAAAAATGTAGTGGGTAGTATCGATACACTAAAGGGAGTCCAAGATAATGCTGACTCTATTATGCTGATCTTGGATAACAAATTTGATTTAATCCTTGAACTACCGTGGCTCAGAAGGTAAGAGCCACAATTCAGCTGGCCATGAACATTCTACATGCCTGTCACTTTTTCACCAGACGACCATCTGGTGAACTCCGTGGAGCGCCCACTAATATGTGGTTGTGCTACGAGCGAGTGCGATGACCTTGCGTGTGGCTCGGTCGTCAGTATGACTGCACGTGGCCATGACGTGGATGATCGCCACACCATGGAGCCAGATTTTGGTGACTGCATTGAGACCCAGATCGCCCCGAAGGCCCACCACCCGAATTGTTCGAGTGGACTGGGGCGTGGGTGTCTCCAAACGGTCAACAACAAAGTGACGACGAGATGATTGACAGTGGTCGTCAACACGATGATCTTAGTGCTATTGGAGAATCTCAAGTAGAAAACGTGGAAGCGGTAGCGCAACCGCCGCCAGAGAATAGCTAGAGAACAATTCCACTCGTGTCATGTAATGGGGGTAGCCCAAGAGGCTAGTGAGGGAGTAAGTCTTCACTCAACTGTGGAAATAAGTTCTTAAATAATAACAGAGACATTAAATGTCCACGTCAATGACGGATCAAGTATGTGCACTTACCAACTTGATCTGATCGCGCCTCCGAAGACAACATCAAAAATCAATTAACTGCTCACGCTTGAACAGAAGAGGTTTTCGCGTGATCTGCGAAGTGGCAAAGTCAAGCAGAATTGCATACTTGTCGCGGAAGACGAGTATGTAACCGTTGTTCGGTCGGATATGGTATTATTCACTGTAAAAAATTCTCAGCATCTCATCAATGGACGAGAGTTTTCGTGATCAAAAGAGTCGGATTGAGCGATATACATCACAATCATGAAGATAGTTTAAGACAAATCCTATCTACGATAATTTGACGAAATTAAGAGATGTGTTCCCTGAAAGATTGTCGTGCAAGTTACCAAAGGATGAGGGTACTCGTCATGAGATCGACCTGAAACTAGGTACAAAGTACTGCGTCATGAAACAGTAGTCACTGCAATATGAACAGGTACTATCTATTGACAACTTCTTTGTAGATTGCTTGGCAGTGGTCCATTTGAAAAAATCTAATTCCCACATAGACCTCCAAACGTTTGGGTCCGAAAGGCCACAGGAGAATGGACGACTGTTCATTCATTCAACAAGTCTAATACTGCAGCTGTACCGGCTCAAACGTTGATACCAAGGAAGGATGTCATTACTGATGGTACGGCAAAGTTTACCATTGTTTCTTTGATAAATCTGATAAAAGGATTCTACCGAATCATATGCGTGAAAGGGACATCCCGTAAACAGTGGTGATCATCCCAAGCGATATGCGCTGGGGTGGCTAAGTATTCCACGGGGAATCTAGGTATACCCCTGCTACTTTCAACAGATGCGTTAAAAATCTGTTGAGATCTGGGCGAGAATTCGCACCTAGTTATTTTGACGACGTCTTCGTCCATAGCCGGATCATGGATGGACAGACGGATGTGGAAGTCCACTGACTCTACGTCCGAAAGGTTCTTGCACTGATGAGTGAGCTATATATTTGACAACCTCACAAAGTGAAAATGCTGCTATCGAAATGCCAATTCTTAATGCATCGCAGTTAAGCGCGGGTCCAGCTCGATCCGAAAGAGATCAAGGTGATCAATAACTGTACGGTGCCTACCGACGTAATAGGACTCCAGAAGTTCCTTAAACGATCGGCGTGTTTGCACGAATAATCGCACAATTAAGCCGAGATGAATGTTCACCTCTCTCGTTTATCGAAAAAGAATGAAAAGTGGGAATGGGGTGCCGACTGCCAGCTATCTTAAAGGCATTAGGGAAAGCTTAATATGATCGCCACTTTTGGTAATTGCAGACCAAGACAGACCAGCTCATGTAGTCTACGATGCAAGTTAATTTGGCCTTAGATGTGCACTAATGCAGTATGAAGCAGAAGGTGCTGATCGTGTTTTCTGATATCAGTCACGTCCGATGCAACCGGCTGAACGTAACTTCCCGGTCTATGTAAAGTAACTTATCTGACTAAGTATGATTTGGCTAATTTCGGGGTCTACCTGCTAGGCTATAGACCCTTCATCGTTTGCACGGGCCATGCGTACTTATACACGTCCGTTAAGAGTCCACACCTATCGCAACTAACGACGAGGTGTCTGTCGTTCTTCGTGGATTATAACTTATTCGTAGAATATAAGCCTGGCCTTCTAAATGTCATC